AACTTTAAAGTTTCTCTTGTTAGAGAAATTTTAATTAACATATATCCCCAAAAATGTATATTAATTGTTTTCTGCCTAAAGGTTTTGCAACCCAATATCCTCTGTTGAAGGAATATTTTTTATGAAGCATTTTTTTGTCCATGGTTTGGCACTAGTAGCACTTTGTTGAGATCAGCAGTGAAATAAAGCATGATACACAAACTGTTTAGTTGCATTTAACCAAAACCATAATCTTTGATTACCTTTATCTGGACTTTTTGTTTCAGTCCTACAGTCTGTTATTAAAGCACCACTGTCCACCTCAACCTATGTCTTGTAACTCCAGTTTGACACATTGAAGAAGCTTTTCATTCACTCCAAAAAAGAAAGAGAAAAAAAGATTCTTTGAAAGTAATTACATTTACCAGCTCAATATGATAATGAAAACATTTTGATAATATACAAATGTAATGTTCTAGAAGACTGGAAGGTTTGGCCTTAAGCTAAAATTAAAAAGCTGCATTCAAGTGTTAGTTGTTTATTTGAAGTCACTTGAATCTGTTGTTGAATTAACCCTATTCAGAACTTTTGGGGTCATTTGAACCAGGCCATTTGGTTGCTGTGATAGGTATTGTTTGTTTGTTTGTTTGGTTGGTTGGTTGGTTTTTTTTGAAGATTCTTTTTTTTTTTAAATATAAAAAGAGGGACATTTGTCATGCATTTGTAACCACAAATAACTTTTCAGAAAATGTATTTAACATAGTATAAAAGTCTATAATGAATACCAACAAATACTTTGCACACATTTTTACTTGGGGTCCAATGGACCCTGAAAGACCTTCTATCTATGGCATTATGGAAGTCCTGAATAGGGTTAAGCTTGACCTGTAGGAGCTGAACAAACTCTGGATGTGGAAAATAGCACTGTTGGTTAATGCTTCTTATATATCTTTTTCATTACTATTTCACATGTACCTTACAGAACTTCAAAACTTCTTTGTGAATCTAAAAATGCATCACTCATACTTTTGTAGCACTTCACTGTCTTGGCTTTTGTTTACTTGTGCATGATGTGTGAAAGAAGATTTAAATTTTAATGAAACTTATTTTAATCAAGAAAAATTTATGTTGACAATGTTAAACAATGAGGTAAGGTTTTGGATGAAAAACAGAGTAAAAGGGAGTTTTTCCAGGTTGTAGTGTGTGTGTGTGTGTGTGTGTGTGTGTGCGCGCGCGCGCTCGTGTGTGTACCTACCCCCCTCCCCTCTCATGCCCCTCGATCTCCTTGTGTGTTGCGTTGTGTCATGTTTTGTTATGTTGTGGTGTGTGTGTGTGAGTGAGTGAGTGAGTGAGTGAGTGAGTGAGTGAGTGAGTGAGTGGGTGTTACAACTCCAGCACACTACATCCCCAACCCCCCCGCCTAATTCCCTTCCCGTTCCCCTGGATCACGTGGGCATCCAGAGGGCCTGTCCTCCCCTTCGTCTCTCCATGCCCAGCGGGCTCACCCACACATGGGCATCCAGGGAACCTGTCCCCCCTCTCTCTAGCTGAACCTGGTCACCCAAGATTAACCACCCTCCTCCCCAAGCCAGGCTGTTCATGCCCCTGGTACTCTGTTCTCTCTTTATGTATTTATTTTTCTTCTTCTTCTTAGAAGTGTGAGAGAGGAAAAAGAAGAGTTCTCAATCCTCACACACGTGCCCCTGGTACCCTGTGCCGGAATAGGACTGGAGACCACTGGACACTCGGACCTCTGCTCGAGCCCGTGTGCCCTTGACCTCCAGTGGAGGTCCAGCAGAGACTGGAGCCGCCAACATGCACGTGCCCCTGGTACCCCTGGTTCCCAGACAGTTGCTGGGGGGAGGAGGGGGCCTGTGCACCCTCAGCCACACAAAAGCTTGGATCGAGGAGCTGCTCTGCTACATACAACACCCTGACCCAGAATCAGGTCATCTCTTAAGTGATTCAGCACCAGGTTATCCACAAACATGCGTTGCAAGGCAGGAGAGGGGCAACCTCGACCGACCACGCTCCAACCCTGTCACAAACGGCTCTCCGCACCGGCTATCCGGGACCTACCTAAGATCCGTGGCACTACAGTATTGTCACATCTATGTGGGATTCTGCCATAGAGACGTTCAGTTATAGTCCCACAGATGGTAGCTACACACCATAGGCTCCTCAGCCAAGCACATAACACCAAATGTCTGAACCTGCAGTAACTCTCGTACTAAGCAGGATTACTATTGCAAAACCACATTCACCGTGGGGTAAAACTGTGTGTGTGTGTGTGTGTATGTGTGTGTGTGTTGGGGGTGTGTGTGTGTGTGTGTGTGTGTGTGTGTGTGTGCGCGCGTGCGCATTGTCTTACTCGCTCTCCTCGCCCCATTGAACAACAGTGATGAAATGGAGATGAGTTAAAGTGCCAACACAAAGACTGACCAGACCCCTGCGTCGCTGCAACAATGAAACCACCAAACACAAGAAAGTGAGAGCCTCTTAGAGAAACAGAGAGAAAGAGCAGAGAATGAGAGGGGGGAGAAATTAAGGAGGCCGACTTAGGAAAAAAAAGAAAGAGAGAAAGAGAAGAAGCAGGGCCGAACCATCCTGAGAGCAGGAGGAAATGGATGGTGGGCAAAGGTAGCAGAATGGAGCGCAACCCCCGGAGAAAATAGCAAGGTAGCTAATCCCTCCAGAGACATAAAGCAGCTATATGTAAATGAAAGACGTGAAGTTTGGGCATCTTACTTTGATCTATGAATCAGGCTCCCCCCGCCTTCCTCGCCTCCTTCACTCTCACCCCTTTTCTCCTTCCTCATTTTTCCTTGTAAGAAAATCAAGCCTTATTTAGCTTAATCTCACTTAATGGCATCCAGCTCCTCTTTTGTCCTCCCTGATGCTAACAGATTCCCTTTTCCTTTCACTCGCCACCATTCACATATCTACCCTCCATAATCCTCTTATTCCGGGGTGGCAATTATTTTGAGTATTTTATCAGCATTATGATTATGATTATTTTCATTATTATTATTCATGTAGGCCAGGCTAAGGGCCAGGTTGCGGCTGAGAATATCCACCCTGCCAGTACCTCTTATTCTCTCTCAGAAGGAGGCTGCCTGCTTTCTTCCAGAGGGGTGGCGAGTTTTCAGGAGTGAACCCCTATTCAACACAACACATTTTCTGGGCGTTTGAACATATTGTGGAGTGAGTGTAATGAGTAGCACCAAATCACCCCGTCCCGGCTCCTCGACACAGAGAAACATCAAGAATTTTGAGGACGGAGGAGGTGAGAGGGGGCTAATAATCAAAAGGCCTTCTTTCTGTGGAGCAGTAATTACACGGGTGGGTTTTGATCTTTTGCTTGTTGGGGGAGGGGGGAGGGGGGGTTGAGGACTGTTTCACTATTTTTTTAGGGGTTGGGGTTGGAGGGCTGAATGATGCTTTTTAGCATGTTATCCGCAGCAAGTATATCAGAGATTATAGCGGGAGAAGACTCAGTGAAGTCGCAGTGGCATCAGGAGAAGTTTGCTCCTTTTCGATGTCTATGAGCGGAGGCAGCAAGGGATGGCAGGCCGCACAGGATTGAAGAGTGACACGAGAAAAACTGCAGAAATTTTGAAGTAAATAAGGGAAGAAACATCTGAAAAATGACATCAACTGTCTAAAAAAGTAAATATTTTACTGCCTGTGATGTCTAATCATCACCTGCTGCTGCTGCTGCTGCTGCAAAAAAAAAAAATCTCAGATTGTGAAAATCATAACTTTACTTTTCTTAATTAAAAATCAAGTGTGATCTGCACAAGTCACACTAATGTGACACATCAAGAATATGCAATACAATATGCCTAATTTTCACTGTAGACTCTTTTCCCGGTTTGTTTAGAACAAAAGTAACTATTTTTGTCTATATATTGTTGGGATACTTGTGCGTTTATTGATTGATTTTACACCTGATTGCATTCCTGTGCATTTTTGATAGTGTCCCAATTTTATATTAGTTGTACAACATCTTCAACTATGTATTCATTGCAAAATGTTTCAAACCAATGAATTTACTCATAGTTTTGTTTGTTTTCTGTTACATTTCCCAGCTGTGAGTATCTCTTCTATTCCTTATGAGCATCACACTGTGGGACAATAAATATAATAGTTTGTCATACGGCACACTCAAAAAGGACTTGTTTTGTATACCTCATTTAGTCACTTTTCATGTGTGAGCAGCACAAAGCCTTTTGGAATAACATGGTGTGGAATTGCACCATCATTTTTACATCACTTTTCTCCTGGACACTTTTATTCCTCCCTAATTGGAGCATTCAAGCAACAACAACATTGCTAAAAGAAATTCTGAATTACTTAAAAGATTTTCACTTTTAAAATTTCACTGGTGTTAAATATTTGAACAAACAACTTTTCAGGTTTCAAAAATGAAAAACTCAGCAACTGCATTGTTTTGGTTTGATCAATTTTGATTGACAGCAATGTGAAGCTCCGCCCACTTCTAACAACTGCACAGACAAAACATAAATACAGAAATTATAAGAAGACAAATTTTCAAGCTTTAGGAAAAAAATGAATTCATATTGCTCATAGATGAAAGCAGGTTGCAAAAATGTGTTTTCACAGCCTTTAACTAACAAAACTTTTATCTCATAAGAGTCCTCTATTCAGGGACTCTCTGAAACTTCTCGTCACTTTCATTCATCAGGCTGCAGCACATCACTGCAGTCATGTGCACCATTCACACCTATTATGCAAAAAACAGACACTAAAATTATCAGAGTAGTTAATTATTTCTTTGTGACATAAGAAATGTAATAAAATGCTCACAACCAAAAAGATATTATTAGATTTAAAGATTTTTTTAAAAATCAAAGCATAAGTGTGAGTAGTGTAGTAAAATATTATATTATTAACATGTTAAAATGTTAGAAAAATAGCCATTCATATAAAAATGTTGCATACATGTAACAGTCATCAAGTCCATTCTTCACAAATCGTCTGCAGCTTCTTTTCAGGGGTCACTTTGGGAATCTGGGTGCTGGAGTGGAGTGGCTGAATCTGGGCAGTCTGCAGACACCGCAGGGGCACAGGGGTCCTCCTGAGGCCCCCGCAGAGCTCCACTGCACCGGGGCCAGCGAGGCCTCCATGGGGCCCGAAGCCAGCAGGGGACATTTAGCTGCAGCAGAGGATGATGACGTGGAGGAAGAGGAGGAGGAGGCAGATGCTGCTGAGGAGAGGAGGGACTCCTGGGTGAGGAGGAGCTGACCGGGGCCCGAGATGAGGGGCCACCCTCCAGCGAGCAGCAGCCGGGGGACCGGTCCCATGTTCACCCCCATCCCGACGCTCACCTCCCCCAGCAGCCGCCGCATCTCCTGCAAGGAGGAGCCCAGGAGGAGGATATAGTTCCTGGCCAGAACCAGGGTGGAGATCTTGGAGAGTCTCCGGCCTGGAGGAGCTCCAGGCTGGTGGGACTGAGAGGAGGCAGAGGAGGGCGATGAGGCGTACGGCACCATGACTTCCCTCAGAGCATCCATGGCGATGTTCAAGTCCTGCATCCGTTTCCTCTCCCTGCTGTTAATCTTCCTCCTCAGCTCCTGCTGCTCCTCGGGGCTCAGCTCCCTCTGCGGTTTGGCTGATCTTTGGCTGGTCTGGAGGCCGAGCATGGGTGCAGGATTGAGGCGGGAGCTCAAGTTAAACCCTGGAGGGCAGTGGGGTAAGTCCTGCACGGAGCCGGGGCCACAGAGAGGCTCCTGGGCCCTGATCACTGGGTTTGACAGCACATTCATAGTCTGGAAGCTATTCGGCACAGTTGCGGTTCAGCTAAAGATAAAATTTGAAACCAGCCAAAAATATTCTAGCAGCAAAGGCAAAAATAAGCTATTTTTTAAAATTCACAAACTGCAAAATCAAGTCTTCCTTCCCTCCACCTGTTGATCTCCCCTTTGCTTGCAGAAAACCTCCAGCTGCCATCCAGCACAATGACAATTCTACTTTTGGCTTCAGAGGTTTCTGGCTCCACAAGTGAGTAACCGAGAGCTTCCCAAAGTGGCGCCTCGGTTTTATCTCAATTCCACAGCTGCGTGAGGCGAGAATGACAGCTCACACAGTGGAGAAGTGAGCTAAATGCTCCCCTCAGATACCCCCACCTCAGCTCAACTCCTCCCCGACACATGATGTGCTCTTTAGAAACGCACAGATGCATGTCCGACTTTGGGATTTATTTTATTTTTTTACAGTTAAATGGGAAACAAATGGTCGACAGTGATACAAAGAGGACCAGCAGATTCCCACTAAGTGATGGGATGTTTTAAGACATCAACACTATTAGTGGGCTTTACAAGGTCAGATTAAACAGTAAGACACAGAAGTTACAACTCTCCTGTCCTGATATTTACTATGTTTTCACATCATCACAAAAGTAATTGTGCCTGAACCTGTGTTTTAAGTAAGTTCTAAAGTAGAAATACTGCTTCTTACACTCATCATGTGTCTTTCAGCGAACAAAAAAACCCAAAAAACTTTGATTTTCACTGAGATGAGGTCTTTAAGAGGGTTGCATGACAAGTCAGTGAATACCATTTAACTAGAATACCAAATGACTTTTGCAATATGTGACTTGTAATGTTGGAAATTTCCCTACTTTAGTAAGGATTTAAGCTATACATCTACAAAAGCTTTTTGCAGGCATTCATGATCCACAGTGGAAAACTTGAATGATTTTGTTGATCTACTGCATAAAATGATATAAATTCAAACTATATTTGGCTTTTGCATTTTCAAATGGTGCAAGTTTTAATATTTCTTGCATCTAACCACTGAACTGCACCTGGAAAATGAAAACAGTGGCCTAGAAGCTAGAGGGTTTAATACCATGGTGGGATGTTGAATGTAGTCAGTATGACCTGCTAAACACGAGCATATTAGAGCTGTCATTGTGTTGCTACCTAACAGCATGAGTGACATTGCTTTTTACTTTTTCTCTCTGTAAATGTCATTAAACCCCCCCCCCTTCAAAAAATAAAAAATAAAATAAAAAATGCACAACATTATGAGCTTAATGGAATGCACCACAGAGGCCCTTTTAGCAACTTGGAAGCCATTAAAATCAACAGTGCTTTGTCAATTGACAGAGAGCAGGTATTAGCACTATTAGCACGGGTATTAATCGTGTCGGAGAACAGTTTTGGCAAATGGTGAATGGATACATCATTGTGTGTGGGGAGTTAATTGATGGTTTTGAGGTGGAGGTTATTGTTGTTCAGCTCTGAGCAGCCACGCTAAACCAAATTGGCTGGCGGAGAGCTGGGCACCGTTCCAGACGGCAACACAACAGGCCAATTGACTCCGACCACAGGTGAAGCTGGCTTGGGGCACCGAGCAAGGCTGGAAACCTTCAAATGTGCCATTCATGAGCCACAAAAAAGAACCTCAGCATCACTCCGTGGCACAGTGGAGCCTGGCCGTCCTCTCTTTGCACTGCCTCCCCCTCCTCCTTCTCCTCCTTGTAAAGTGCCATCTGAGGGGGAGAAAAGGAAGGCAGGGGGAAAAGGGGAGAAGGACAGCAGCGTCACAAACAGAAAGCAAGTTGTTTACGATGAAAGCAGAAGGAGACGCAGAGGAGGAAGACCCTTTCTTTCTTCCCAGCCGGCTCCTCTCTTGTCGTTTCGGGCTGTGAAAGATGCGCTTCCCTTCCCCACCAGTGGTCCAGTGGCGTCCGGCTGGTGCTGTGATTGAAGCTGAATGGACGGCTGCAGACGGACAGGAAAGAGAGGGCTTCATGAAAAGGGCCAGGCGGATGGGCCTCGCACCTGCAGGAGAACAGAGTGCAGGCAGCCAGGATGAATGTGTGAGTGTTGTGTGTGCTCGTTTGTGTGCGTGCCTGCGAGCTCAATTTGATTTCTAGTGCCCGACTCACAATGAGAGGTAATAAACCGAGTAATGAAAGAAAAGCAGCCGTGATGGTTTTGACTGTATACTGGGATCGTTTCTGTGTTGAGAAAAAAAAGGACACCTGCAAGGAGACACACATACAGAAGTCAGAATAGAGGAGAAAGAAAGAAGCTGGTGTCTACTAGAATACTGTGTGCGTGCCCCCCCCCACCCCCACCCCCCACACCCCAAGGTCTTTTTCTCCACCGCTTACAAGGAAAAGAAAAGTGAGCTTGATTTGGGGCTGCAGCCCAGCATATCCGCCTCCCTCCCAGCTTCCAGGCTCCTTTTGATGAGGCTGGACCAGGGCAGGAGCAACGGTGGCTTCAGGGCAGGGGGAAGACTAGTGTCTTTATGGTGCAAAGAGTACTATCCATCTGGGCAAGGCCGTCCAATGGGGGGTCTGCACCTGGGAGCTAAATGCCTCGTCTGTGTGGAGCCATTTCCTGCGGCTGACAGACAGGAAGACACCTCGGCCAAACTCCTGGGTCAATTTATCCCCCAGTACAGGATGAAAAATACACCCAGACTGACACCATGGAACAAAAAACAGTTATGAAATCCTTTCTTTGTAGCTGAATGTGCTTCTGCAAGAACTTACACACCAGCAAAAAAAAGATGATAAAATGAAAGAAGGTAAAGTACAAGAGGACAAAAAAAAAAATAAGGTTGTATTTTTTTATTTATTTATTTTTTTTTACATTTTTTAAAAACTTTTCTTCTCTTTGTTTTCGTTGTTGTTTATTGGCTTTTTATAATTAGTATGGAAAAAATGCATCATTCTAGCGTGTTTGTTTTTCATAGATTTTAACCAAATTAACCAGATTTTAAATCAGTTTTATAGGTTTTAAGCAGATTTTTCTTATGTAAGTTTAAAAGTTGACAGTAATGGAGGTTTATAAGGTTTTGCAACTTTAATAGCTCATGTTTGATTTCGGTGAGCAGAATTGAGGCAAAATTTGGAAAAATGAAAAACTGATTTCTTCATAATTTACTAGCTTGTTGGCTTTTATAGATTTTAACCAAAGATTACCAGGATTTTCTTCTTTTTTATCGTGCAGTTTAACAGGTTTTAAGCAGATTTTGCTTTTGCAAGTTTAAAAGATTACAATAATGAAGGTTTATAAGGTTTTGTAACTTCAGTAACTTTAATGCTAACATGATGCTGGTGATAGAAGCGGATGCAAAATTTGGGAAAATGAAAAGTAGCTTCTAATGAAACACTTGATTTATTCAAAATAAACACAAAACAATAAACCTGTCACCTACATAGTGTTTGCACATATTTTTTTTCTTATTTAATTTAAAATACACAAACCAGATTTTGTATTATTGGTTTGTAATATGATCTTTTAATAATCACCAATACATTCACATATTATTTTGAGTCAGTTTTGACCACCCAACAGATATTTCCTCGTTGAAACACACACAAAACAACCTCTACTGGCTTCTTAATTTAGTACAAATTGGCCTAATTACAAACCCACCTCACTGGATATAAAGAGACACATTCACAGATTAAGTCAAGCCACAGGCTGAGTCACTGCTGCTGCTCCGGACACAATCTTGACTTAATGGAGTCAATTTACATCAGGTGTCTGATTGAGCTCTTTTGTGTGTCACTTGTTGGTGTGTCGATGTCTTTGTGGCCTCAGTGGGAGGATTTATCATGCTGTTAATGTCTCAAGGAGGCTTTCCAATTCCCCAATTTGGCACGATTACACAGCTATTTTGTGTGTCCTCATCTGTTCGTCACTGACTGTGCTGCTCATGGTGAAAAAAAGCTGCTTAATGAGAAGTTCTTTAAATGACTGATTAAAAATAGCTGTTAATATCATATATCAGGACTCCTAAAACACAGGTCTGACTTTAAACTATTGCAGAAGTCGAAGAAATAGATGCATAACCATAACCATTAATGATACTTTATGCTGTTTCCAGATTCCTCAGCAGCAAATAATGGAGTTTGTAGACCCAAGCACGCACGTGGAGCAACATCCATCAAGATTAAACACAAATTTTTTGACGTGCTAACATACGGGGCTTTTTTCCTGCATGCAGCATCCTGCAGCTGTTTTAAAGGTAAATTGAGCGATTCTAATCCAAAATGTTTTTTGCTGAATTCACTGAATATCTGCTCACAGTCCACTAGATAACAGAAAAAATGTTCTTCATGTGTTTCAAACATTATTTTATCTTTAAATGTTAGTTATCATTGCACATAAGGGCACGGCTCACGCTCGCTGTCCCAACAGTTTCTCCCTCCTGTTTGGACGGGATGTAACTGGTAATTTCGTTGCTCTGTACTTGTGACATGTGCAATGACAATAAAGTTCTGACTGACTGATCATTTCCATACAGGACAAGCCAAGGCAGTTAACAAAAAAACATTGTGTGGGGAAGTTGTGTGATGTTAATTAGAATTTAAATAATGTATTAATGCACACAAGAAAATAAACCATTATTCTTCTTGATGCGACTGTGGTGTAAGAGCACTAGCACACTGAGCTGTGAAAATATTGGTGGATCAAAAGATTCTAGTAGTGCAGTCACCTCAATTTCCCTCTTCATGTTCATGTATCGGGACTCCTCATTGAGGCTGGAATTACCAGCTGGCAAAGTTGGACAACTGTCCGAAGGCCCCCGCCTCAGAAATACATAGCATGTCATCATACAGTAATATAATGAAGATGCCATGTGTGGGCTGCTGTGTACAAAGCACTTTACGGTACTGAAGCAGATAGGTTCAGATTGGTCAGCAGCTCATTTTTGCACAAAGGTTCTCTAGCTTCTCCGGTTTCCTCCCACACAGTCCAAAAAACATGTTGAGGTTACTTAGTGATTGTAAATTGTC